AAATTCCCAAGTTAGTAAAGAAAGAAAAGAATAAACTTTAACGGAAAACTATCATTTATAACTTATTTAACAGTTTATTTAGTCTATTTAATTTATATTTAATATTTATTTTATTTCATTTAAAATCACTCCAACTTTTATTATTTCAAATAAAAGTATCTCTACTACAGTATCACCAGAAGTGTCTAAAGGCTGCTCTGGAGTATTCTTTTGTAGGTTTGATTCATTGATTGTAACTTTAAAACGTTGTTTTTGTTTTGTCGAGTTTACTGCAAAACAAAAATACGATATTTATTTGTCTATTATAATCATTATATCAACTTCTTTTTTACAATATGCCTTTAACATAGCCATGAAGAAGCGCTGTTGATCAAATTGACTTCATAAAGTTTAGACCAGGTCAGACCAAATGATGTTAGTAACAATACACACTTACTCACCTCTCTCTCTCTCTCTCTGAAATGTCATACATGAACTAAAACGTATTCACTTTAAACGTACTTTTAATTAGAAAGTCATTATTCAGCTAAAACCTTTTATTTATTTATTTATCTATCATTTTATTGGTTACAAAATTATAAAGTTGGAAAACTAATAATTACTTTATCTTGATTTTTCCCATTTAAATTGGACTTACGGCTTTTCGGCAAAAATCACCAATGCATGCTGTAAGCAATTTTAGCTACATCTTCCATTTTTAGGCAAACCCTAGAGGGACTTGAGTTATCTAAATACAGTGCTAGGTTATCGATTTACTCAGTTTAAAAACACAAAAATATATTATTTTTGTAGATCAAAATATTTCCAGAAACAAAAATAAAGCTTATCTTGAAAACGTCTGTATATACAAAGATATAAAGTGTTAAATATGGGATTCTTTTCTATGGTAAATGAACAATGAGTGAAGCTCCGCAGCCGCAACAGTTTCTATACAGAGATTTCGCGCTTTCCTTGCGGCGTAGGAATCTCAGGTAACTTTTTACAGTCGCTGACAAAGCATCCTTGGAAGAGTCTACTGTAGACTCTGAAAGGTGATGCAGGTTACCCCATCGATATCATTAACAAATTCTACTATGGCCTGGCCAGAAAAAAGTATGGCTGTACCCCTCAACTGATGTGCAAATGATGTGTACTTTAAGTGACAGTAAAACAATAGCACAAAGTCAATGTTAAATTCTCGTATTATCTTCGGCTTTGGTAACGAAACTTATATAACTTCACTGTAAAAAATGTGTTTAGATGATAGACACTTTCCTAAGCACACTCTTGTCACACTTTTTTTATGCATTGAAATTCTAAACACATTAAATTTCATGACGTATAACACACGTTTAGATCTAAGTGTTTAGCCGTTAAACACAATCTTGTACATGTTTAGGCCAAAACATGTAAATGAAGTGTTTATTTTCTAAGCGCATTTTTTACAGTGTTCTTTTGGATTCCTACATAGGCAATTATCCACATATGATTCACATATGTATTGCCTTTCATATGAGGATCATATGTGGATCATATGAGAATCATATGTATATACAATCATATGAGAATCATATGTGGCAAATCATATGAGAATCATATGATTACACATATGTAAATCATATGAAGTAATATACATATGATTCTCATATGAAAGATCCTGCATATGAGAATCATATGAATATTCTGACAATAATCATATGAGAATCATATGAAACTGATCATATGAGAATCATATGAAACAATGTTCACTTATCTGTCCTTGTTATACTGAAGTAAAATTGCAATTTCAATAATATATATCAAAAGATAAATTTAAATGTACATTAATTCAAAAGAATTTTTAGTTATTAATTATATGTAAAGTTCTACTCTGTTTACCCTACCCCCCCCCCCTTCCTTCTAAAAAAAAAACCTTTCATAATTTTTTCTGTTATAATGCATTTCCCAGGCGAAATAGATAAAGAATAAATTAATTTGCTTTTCATTTTAAATCTTTTGGGTTTGGCTAAGTACAATTAAAATAATTCCGTTTTTTTGTCCAGGCCGGTATTGTCTTTTATCGGATGAAAATATACGTCATTTTTGACGTCACTGCTGCAGCAGACGTGTTGGGTGTTTGGAAAAGGCAAGTGATCTCCTAACAATATTATTTTAAAGACTTTTGATTCATATTGTTTCAATATTAGTTCATTATGGTGCGTATGAACTTTCTGTATAAAATATTCTTATTACTTCAATACTTGCATGCATTTCATAAACGTAACGTTCGTGATCTGTTAGTAAGTTTGGATAAAATTTGTTTCTGAATGAATGTAAACATTACATGTTAGGCTAAGGGCATTGCTACTTTTTAAAACTTGAATTTGTTTTCGTTTTGTTACGTACTGATATGAAAGTGAAAGTAGAAACCTTGTATGTCAGTTGGCGTTATGTATGTTGAGATCGTTATCAAGTCCGGATTCCTTCTTCAACTTAATGACAAATGTTTGTTTTTATGGCCTATAGATGCATTCGGCAACTTGAGTTCAGTGTCACAGTGCTGTTTTTTTCAGTCCAAAGAGCCCGAAGCTGATAAGACTGGCGATTGATCCTGAAGCTGATTTGACAGACGATTGCATCATCACAATATTGAAGGTAAAAATAAATACTTGCAATAAAAAATCAAAGTATCTGTAATGTCTCTTTATGACAATATATTTCTTTATTATTTTTTTTTTGTTCTTTTATAATTCTACATTGTTTGCATGGCTTCATCAAAAATAAATTCAACTCAACTCAATACTCTAGAAATTTTATTCTACATTATAATTTTAATCCAGTGCACTTAAAAAATGCAAAGTATGAATAGATTTTGCTGGCTGTATAGACTATGAAACTATATAGTATACAATAACTTTTTGGGGAGAGCGGGGATAAATTGGATTTATGGTGCGCGTGCCTATAGTTTCGGGTTAAATGTTAAATATATTTAAGACTATAGAGAACCTACAAACTTGTACTCTCTCTTTTTAATAGTTTAAGTTTTGATTGAATGTATTCTTAGAAAATATCTACTGTGTGAGACTGTGAGTATTTGTCTTACAGGTTCAATATACAGTCAGCCTCTCATAAGATAAAGAACAAATCCCAAGATCCAAGGCTTGCTTTAAAGTTAAGGTAACTACACACTGTTAAATAAACTTTGTTATAGTCTTCCCAAAAGTTTGGGATATCTTGGAATCACAATGTCTGTTTTTCTGCCTGTCTACTTGTCTGTAGTATTTTTTGTCCAAAAATAATATACATGTATTTGTATCAGAATCTTCTTATTATTTTAATCTGAATTAATATATACTGTTTGAACATTCCAAATTTAATTGTCAAAATAACAAAAAATTGCGTTTTATGATTTTATTATGAAGCATATCTTTCAATAGTGTAATTGTTTTCAAATTACATCATAGGATTCCTCAAAACACCTAGTATAACATATATAACGTTAGTTTTATCTTGTATCATACCTGTGTCAGTGAATTGGGCATACATTTGTTTGCTGATTATACCTAAGTAACTTTTATAACTCATAGAATTTAAGAATTATTTTATTTTTACTTTTGAAATTTTTGTAGAGACCATTCTGAGCCACAAAGAAATTGTTCAGGAAGAGGAGAAGTGGTGGATATTCATTTTTGTTACGGTACTGTTCAAAGAGATTTTCAAAATGGTCATGGAAGATCAAAGGGAGGACAACTGAAAAAATTGAAAGATACAGAAGGAAAAAGAACAAGGAAATAAATGGAATAATTATGAAATGGGGAGGATGTACACAATCTTGTCTGAATTTTAGCTGTGAAAATTTCCCATATTCTTATTGTATGCTGAAATAATCAATAACTTGATTTTTCATAAATTTACAATAGAGAATACATGACAAATGTTATTGCTGATATTTCAATTTTGCTTTGGACACTTTCATGTCATATGGTATTTTTATACATGAACTAATTAATATGTTATTCATTTGTACATGTACAGTATATACATGTTTAACTACTAAATAATTTTGCTGAAATCTTATAATTTGTACTCATGTTAGAATATGTTAAATACATGTATCGACAAATGCTACTGACTTGTTTGTATATTTTCTTGTTTAGAGTGTACACTGTGAAAAATAAGTTATTTCTCTTGATGAAAATAATTTTATCAAAAAAGTTGTGTAAGCATTTTAAGGTAAGGTTTGCGTTAACAGGGAGATAACTCTTGCAAATCACCAAAGCGTTTGAAACAGGCGACTTTAAACCAGCGATGCTAAGCATCTCGGTAACGAATTTCCTCTGTCATACTTGATGTTTGTTGTCACTTATTGTTAGGACTAAAAACAAAGAACGTTTTAAGGAGAAAGTCTTATAACAAATCAAAGCATAGGAATCTTAAAAGCCTTTGAGATTAGCGTGATGCATGTGGATGAACCAATAAAGGAGGACTTGTTTATTTCGATACGGAATGTGGCAAGTTGTAGGCCATTCCGATCAGAAGAAAGTTATCGACGCATTGTGCTGTTGTGTGTTTCTCGCTTCACCACTACACTAAAATTTTAAGTGAGAATGGGAAGGAAAAAAGAAAAGACCTGAGAGTATCCTGTAAAGTATTATGCTTTATGCAGTCCGAACAGGGAAGAAAAGTCACGTCCAATGATGATGTTGACCATGTCCAATGATGATGTTGAAGGAAAAATAAACAACTTTATATTTTACTGTTTGATTGTTGATAGTATTTTCATCAGGTAATTATTTAACTATTCATTTTACTGAAAGTTATGAATGATCTTCTGACTACAGATTTAAAAACGATGAATAAACGGTACAAGGATGTCAGGATGTGGCTAATATCCCAACATTGCCAAAAAATAAAAATGCATTCATTCAAGAAATTATGAAAAAAATCCTTGCTTTTTAGGCCTAATATTTGTAACATTATTGGAACAGGTATTCAATTGTTCAAGTTACCTTTTAAATGAGGTTTGATTTTAATTAATATCTCATTTTTTAATTAATACAAATTGTGCATGACAAGAACATTAATTTTCTTGATCAAGCATTTGCATTTCACTAATTCAATCTACATGTATAAATTGTACAATAATTTCATATTGATTCTTCATTGATTATATTGGAAATTTCATTTCATTGAGTGAATGAAATTCAGTCCAATTCCTTATGCAATTCCAAAAATGCAATTCCTTAAATGTTATTGTAAAAATGAACACATATGATTTCAGATCAATTGGGTCATTAATTGGAATAGATAA